AGGAGGTGGAGCGTGAGCGAGTAAAGCTCGTAAAGCTCTGATCGACAAGTCTTGGCTTACACCTGTCTCTCGGTTGCTTTAAGGGCGGCGTGGGTGGACGCGAAGGTCGGCAGTTCTACGCGGCGAGCGATAATAATTCCTCATCCCGTGATTTACGCTCGCTCGTTCGCTCGTGGAGAGATGAGGCACGATGAGGCGCATCGCTCTTTGCTGGGCAGCCGGAGAAATCGTGGATGGGCCATTTCCCAGGAAGAAAACGGATGGAAAGTCCATGCGATTGAATTCACGGCGCCGCCGAGAAAATAATGCGAACGCGAGGCCTGGACAAAGACATTTGTTAAACGTCCAGAGCTTCCGTAGCGCTCGTGGACTTTCGACGATCCATCGAATCGAGCGCCTCGATCGCGACTCTTTCCACTAAATCCGATGAATTTCGCGCCGCGTTATCAATCATGGTAAAGAGCTATTTTTCGAAAGCCAACGAACGGCGGAGCCCGCGGATGAAATTCCTCGGGGATTATGTTTTCTACGCGGGCTGACGTGGCTCGAGTGGTGAAACATTCGTTCGGAAATGACAATTGTTAATCGTGTCTCGTAGAGTAGGTTGTATGCTGAAATTGCGTTTTCCGCGCTGATGTGTCTTATCTGAGCTGAAAATTCAATTCGTCTGCGCTGTACTGGAACTTACGAAAGAATGTTACTTTATCAAAGAGAGATACGCGCGACGCTGACACGGCGAATGTGTGTTACTTTATTATTTCGATTAGACATTTGGATTATTTTTAGATAAATTAGAACACGTTTGGAGCGCTCTAACGACAACCTCTATAATAATACTTAAAAAGTTATGCTTATATGCTTGCGCGTGCGTGTGCATTCCCCATTGATTGAATAATATTTCTTGTGCATTTACATGTGTGCGGGGAATCAAAAATATAAATTACGATAGATTTTATTAATCGTTAACACGTTTTTGACGCATAAACTTTAATAAACAAGATTACAATATTAGCGAGATGTTAGAAATCCGATAAGTTAAGGCAAAAACGAAAACACAAAACAAAACAAAACAAAAACCAAGAGGCATAAAATTTCTCTACATAGTTAAAGTGTAAAGTAGAACTGCGGAGCGGCGATTAAAATTAACGTGAACACTAATTAATTATAAAAGTAAGCTTTAATGATGGTGCATTAAAGATTCTTGCTTGAGAACGACTTCATCCTTCTTAGTACTTTTTACGATCTCTTTACGGCCCGAAAAATAAATCTTCCCAGCTCGATATCGCGCGCGCGAGATGTAGATCTTGAGATTTCGCCTTCTTTTAAAATGGACGGATCGTTCAAGGGAGGAAGCCATAAACGAAAGATACATATACACGTAGATATAGATATGCACAGTCAGTGAAAAAGTGTGGGAGAGAAGAAGAGAGAAAGTGAGCGAATGGCGGAATGAGCTGGCCAGCAATAGAGATAGATACAAAGAGAGAGAGAGAGAGAGAGAGAGAGAGAGACAGACAGAGAGAGAATAGAGAAATAAACTTTGTTGAGACGAGCAGCAGAGGACTCCGGCGCATGTACTCGCGAACGTCTCTCCCTTGTCTTGTGCTTTTAGTTACATCGAGTACTCGGCATTATTTTTCTTTACGCCAGGCATTTATTAAAATTCGAGAAAAATGCGAGTTGCACGTTTAAAGGGAATCGCCCTTTGGACACGAGAATGTATACTATGAAAAGAGCTTTAATGCACATCTCACTAAACGCCCGCGTACTTTACTTTTTATACCGTGAGCACTCATTATTAACGAGAGCATCGTTTCAAGTTCGTCGTTACGCGCTTTTCTTCCCTTTCTCGTTAAACTTTTTTTATAATATGTATATATATATATATATATATATATATATATATATCATTTTCTCGCACGAGCGAAATTTAATAAATAAATTCGCATTTATTTTTGCGATTGCATGTGTCGAGTAATGTAATTAACGTACGACGAATTGGGATTCGTAAAGATCTTTGCGATTATTGGTTAAAGGTTCCTTTTATGTTTATCGGTCGAATGTGTATCGGCAAATTAATATGAGTTCTAAAAATGTTTAATGCACTATTTGTTGTATCAAATAAGAAAATAAAAGTTTCACGAAAGACTGGATTTTTATAAAAGAAACTACATAGTAAAACGATATATTTGCATCCAACCTCATTTCGCAATACAGTGATCTTACGAATTGATA